CACCTCTCCACTAAAGGCGCAGCAACATACGATTCACCCTGGCCACCGAACCCGCCCCAACCGGCTTGGAAAGGGGACGACTGACTGACTGACGAAGAGGTCCCGCGTGACTCCCCGCCCAAACGACCACGGCGCGGCGCTGGTGGATGCGCTGTGGACAGATGATGGGCTTTCATGATGCTCCGGAGGCCGTTTTCGAAGCGGTGCGGGGTCCGGGGCGGTCCGCAATTCCTGGGTGGTCCAGTGTGGCAGTAGTGAATTTCATGGTTTTCTGTGGACTGCGCAATGTGGTTTGTGTGACCTAGATCTTTGCAGTGTGGTTCTCATTTCGCTTCATCGTGGTTTTCTCACAGACTCTGACGAGAAGGGGGTCATGACTTCCCTGCCAGCTTCGTTGCCGACGTGACGTGGTGAAGAAGCGAGGCCGGCACTCCTTCGCCGCAAAGCACCGGGTGTTTCACCCGGTGGTTTTTACCAGCTGATGATCAGCTGGTGAATTGGAGGAACGTATCATGTGAACTATTGTGAACTAAGAAATAAATGACACAAACTTTGAAAACATCCATGGAAAGGTTGCCACTGGCTTCATTCTTATTGGGAAGGAAGGTCTTTCTTGGTTTTCATGGATCTCCCAATGTACCCAGGGGCGCCGTTCGTCTTGGGCGTTGGGACTCGGTCTGGTCAGACTTGAGGCACAGACCTCAGGGCGTCACCCACCGTGGTCACCGGTCACCGCCCCGGGCGTCGGCGAAACGCGCCACGGGTGCACCGGGTCACCCCGGTGGCGGCGCGGCCGGTGGCGCCAGGCGAAGTCGGCGAAGAGCACGGGCTTAGCTTCGCCAGAAGGAGGTGGGGACGTCAGAGCGGGAGGAAGGGAGCGGATTTGTGAAAAAGGACGGCGAGGCGAGGTGTTCAACAGTGTCCAAGCTTAGTGCTGACTGAGGTTTGGAGCCAGTATGTTCCAAGCTTCTTGAAGTCAGCGGCGGAAGAAGGGACTCAAACGAGGCTCACAAAGGCTTTTCGGCTCTCGCAAGTGATGCGACGCTGCCGTGAGTGGACCCTCAAAGACGAATCGGCTCTCGGCTTGCGGGTCCATGGGACGTAGAGGACCACGACTTAGAGGTCATTGCAGGGCTTGTACCCTGAGCATCTGAACCCTACAAATTTGTCGGGTTTGAAAACAAACCTCGGGTTTAGCCGTGACATAAGGGAAAACCTCGGGTTTTTAACCAAATCCTTGGAGGCACAAGGTAGATCTTGGATCAAGGCTGGGTGTCTCCCATTCTTTTTTGAGTGTGTTCGAATTCTGCCCGACCCACGACCCCCCCTACCATGGTTCACCGGGTATGATCTTGGCTCTTCAATCATCTTCTATCATTATTCCACGCTCGGTTCGAAATCGCCAGAATTGCCCACAGATTGGACAGGGGATCCCTTTGGTGCACTTTATCTATGGGCTCGACCCCCCACCCAGAAGATCTACCACGTACCACCTACTACGTAACCTCTCGTAACCCGTCTTAACAGACGGCCAACCACAGATCTGGCCTTTCTCGCAATCTATTCTACTACAACACCCGTTCTGGGTCAACCATGGACTAGCCTCCATACTACTCTCGATCAGACAGGACACCCAGAGGGTCGCAGGGTCCAGGTATTGATTTTGCCCTCACCGACGCTCGTCCGCCGCACTCGTCACCTCAGCGCCTCAAGGGGCAGGGCAGGTTCGAGAGACCGTCAGGTCGATTAGGTCAGGTGCCCCGATGCCAAGGATGCCAAGAGATGCCAAGATGGTTTTCGGAAACACACCAAGGAACTCTCACATCATCCCGTTGAACTCTCACATCCGTGGGTTTTTCCTTCAAACTAAGGACTTTGATGCACCTCATTCTTTCTCAGATGGATCCACTTCATTATATATATAATATATACATATCTCATGGTATAGGATATCCAACTTAACCAAGTTTTCAGACTTCCCTTGGACAACACCGAGCTCTTCCCTTCAAGACCTCGGCCTGACCCCGTGGTGTATGGAGTTTACGAAGCGTCCCAAGACCATGCCGTCGTCCACGCGGGGGGACCTGGCTCCGGGTCGGGCCGAGCGGAGCGACCGCTGCAGCTGCAGCTTCACGGCCGGAAGCGGTCCAGTAACAAGGGGGAGCTGTACACATGTATATGCAGTTTGACAGCTGAGCCGTGAAACATATAGTTGAATGTTGAAGACTTAACTTGAGTTCTTTTTTCCAAGCATGGGCGTAGATTTCTCGGAGAAGCAGCCAAATTGTAGCAGAGAGATGCAGAGAGAGAGGGTTTGAGAATGAGGGATAACCACGGAAGAAGGGACCTGTTGATGGGGTTGACAAATAAACACAGATTAACTGATGGATACTAATGGTTTCTGTACGATTTGTACAGGGTCAACATGGGGTCATCGGGATACAATTGGTTGTTGTCACTTTGATTGTTTACAGAATTGGATTGGAACTTGGCAGCTTCTTCGTCGGCTATGCTCGGAAGTGCTCGATCGTGAGCCGTTCAAACCAGGAGAACAGAAGTTTCGAACAGAATGCACACGCTCCCCGCCCTTTTCGCCATCGCCACGGAAACTGGGGGGCTTTCCGAACCTTGGTCATTCACACGTCTTTCTCCGCTTTTTCCACGGCCTTTCTTCCCTTGGGCGCCCCAAAGAGCACGGCTGGACACGATGTTTGGCCGCCTGGACTCCGTTCCAAGCCGGCGTGGGCGTGGCGTGGGCGTGGACGTGCGTCGGTCCGTCCGAGGAACTCCGCCAATGACCGAGAGGATCCCAGGGATTGCAATCCCATGTTCAAGCGGCTTCCAGCCGAAGTGGTCCGGGGGCCCTGCCCTGCTCATCGAGTTTGAACACGGAGGGGAGGAGTTGAACACGGGAGTTCTGAGGTTCCGACGAGCCCAGCTGGCCGGGCTGGTGGCGATTGGGCTGGTGTCTATTTGTGGTAAACTAAAAAACGATAGAAAGCTCACCGCTCGCGTTTGTTGCAGTATTGTAAAGCAAGGTGGCGTCCCGCTTTGCACCATGAGTAGCCTCGATGGTCCATTTCTGTAAAAGATAGCAGAAGATTCAGTATTTCGACCCAAGACCAAGGGGCTGAAGTGGAGATTCATTTCGACCTTCCTTTGGTACACAAAGGACCATCAAAGGACCCTTGGACCCTTTGGTTCACTATTTAACAACTAAACCATACCACCCCCCTAAAGGTGCAGCCCTTAGCAGAAGATCTAAGGACAGGCAAGATTTCACTGGTTGCACATCAATTACACTGATCAAGGTTTGGCAATTGCGTGCTGCAACAAGTAGGCAACAAAGAGCCACAAGTTGTCATCCAACTGGCATTTAGAGTCCAAGCAAAGGTCAATCGAGACACATGTAATCACATGTAATTGATCCGCAGAAATAACCCCTTAGTTTAAATGTATATGTATATTTGTGTAATTGTGGTGACCAGCTATTGTATAATATATACAGCAATATATAGTATATAACATGTATAACATATATATATATATACCAGGATCATCCTGTCCTATCCTACGTCAACAGGTCTCCTACTCCAGGGCACCCGTTGGAAGTGCACCCGGTGGTTCGACGCAACCGATCCTCGCAACCCTTTTTCACCGCTGGACCATGGCGCGGCGGGTTCGCCATGGAGCCGCGCGTGTTTGGAGGCATCGATCACGCGCCTCGGACCAGGGACCGCAGGGGGATCGGGGGGGGGGGGACCGGCGTGATGGGAGAACTTGAGAACTTGGATATACTTTTGACGTTCTTTTTTGCTTAAGAGCTTATATTAAATTACGATTTTTCATTTTTTACTTTTTCTTCATACTTGACAATCTACATGATGGTTGCCATGATGGGGGTCTGACTTGCCATGAAGATCATTGTTCGCGAGACGAGATCCCAGTTGGATCACTTTCAGCCAGGTCTCGTCGATCCTGGTGCCCTATGGGGCAACGGCTGGCGATGGCTGGAGGAGGGGTCTGGACGGCCTCCATCGATGCAGCTGTTCATGACCAGGATGTAGGTAGGAGATTGATAGGACATATGAATAGACATGACCATGATGACCAGCCTTTCCAAGAGATGACCCGGTTTTCATGGGTGTTCACATTCTTTTTTACTTTTCGAGTGTTCGGTAAATCCCATCTGAGGGCTCTTCAATGATGGATATCTCCTTTACTTGAAATAAACATGAAACAACAAGAACATAGCAAGAAGCAATGACCTCCTCCTAGGACTTGTTGGTCGCAAAGGGGTGTGGTTGTTTTAGGGTTCTAAGGCTCCCCAAAAGACACTAAAGTAGACACAGCCCCAACATGCCCCAACCAGGTATACTCCTTTTTTTCCCGTCTCCGCCGTCCTGCGCAAGTTCCCATCTTCTTCGCTCAAGCGGGAGGTGAAACTACCTCCCTGCTGGGCGGGTTCGAGCATTAAGATCATGAAACCCAGCAGTTGTGACATCAGGAAACCAGACATGAACCCAGACATCGTATCGGTAAGCCGGTGAAACCACGGACGGATGTGGAATCGGAACAAAAGAACACATAAAACCATAGACGACATGAGAGAAGAAACCATGAGGTCAAACTCGCGAAGCATCTGGGTGTCATTTTTGGGGCGGCCTTTGCTTTTCCTTTTCTTCAAAAGGAGGCGACAAGGTTCGGCTCGTCCATGCGAGCCGACGGCGGTTCGGGACCCGATGTTTCTTATTGTTTCTTTTTTCCGCGAACGGGACAGGACGAGGATGAAAACACATGTCTGTTTGAAGTAAATCAATGAGAATTTAGGGGGGCATGTGGCGTATGGGGAAGTGCCTGCCGTACTATACAAACCACCGATAACAAGATGTATATATAGAGAGATTACTATATTACATATAATATATATAATTAATACATAATATATGATATAAAAGCAAATAACATCATATGATATATAAATTAGATGTCTTGTTCCATCCAGATCCGGATCTACACAGGTTAGATCACCTGGCTCTCTTCCTTCTCCGCACCATGGCCACCTGGTTGGAGTCCGCCACGGCCGCCGTGGCCGACTCTGCCGCGCCGCACTGTCCGCCCGCGCGCGGCTGCGTGGCCGACGTGCCGCTGATCCAGATTGTGCGGGTGCGACAGATGAGCGGCTCCACCAACAGCTTCGAGGCCGCGGCGCAGCAGAGCGCGGGAGCCCGCGGGGCGGTGTGGGCGCGGGTCCGTCCGGGTGTCGGTCTAGCCGCCCGCCTGGGGTCCAGCAAGCTTCCGGCACGGGACCAGAATCACACCAACCATGGGGAGTCGTCCGTCCGTAGATGCGAACGTCGTTCCGGTCCGAGGTCGAGTCCGTCCGAGGTCGAGGTGACACTGTGGGTCTGGTCTTTTTGGGGGAGGTCCGGGCTCAGATGGGTGCCGGACGGTCGCAGGAAGCATGCATCAGGCTCCAAGGTCTTGAAAGACCGGTAGATAGTCTCATTAAAAGACTCAAAGGAAGACAGTTGCCATATGTTGCCATGTTTTGCGAGAAACCAAAGCCCCTAAAAGACACTCCTCCAGAACGATCGCTTTTCCATGCTTTTCGCTTTTTTTTTTTGTCTTAAGTCATCATCCCCATGCTGGTTTTTGACCTGGAAGAGCCTGGAGAGCAGCCGTGTTTCAAACTCACTGCCAGCTCACACCTGCGCAGGCGACGCCCGACATGAGCGTCCGGGCCCTCAAACGACAACTGAGATTCTCACACCCCACCTTGGATGATTTCAGCAAGCGCCTCACGACCTTGGAACTCATCCGAGGCCTGGGCATAGGGTCCGTCCGCACGGGTCCATCGCTGGGTGTGTCGCGCGGCCGGCTCTTCAGCCGCGGTCCACATGGCGGGTCCATTCCCCCCGCCGCGGGTGCACGCTTGGACGGTGCGTCGTTCCAAGGGCAGGCGCAGACATTGAATCAGGTGGATGGTAAGGTGAATTGCCGGGGGGGGAGTGGTGCGGAACGATCGAGATGCCCAAGTCGCAAGAGGATTTTGTGGGCCTGGTGCGGCTGCCTGGGCTTCCTGCAACTAGCATGGGTCTCCCTTCACACTCGCGTGTTCCACAGCAGTAGCATGGAGCATCCGATCTGGCCTCTCATATTCAGTTGTGTGGCGCTCTTAGCCCTGAAAGTCTAGGAAAATGACTCATTTCACCCCGAATTGGTAGTGGTGGTAGCCTGCATCACATGGGCTACCAGGTAGCCCAATCACACAGATCGATGCACAAGACGTCCAGCGATGGCCATTTCTTCGCAGTTCTGTAGAGTTTGTCTTGACTACAACACACTGTCTTGACTACAACGTTCATGAATGACCACCACCTTCTGGCATTCTGGTGATTCTTCTTGGGGCGTGGTTTGACGCAAACGGACCAAAAACATGGAGGAAGCAGTCGGTCCAATGCGCGCGGCCTCTGAAGCCTTGAAGAACCATCCGTGCGCTGACAGCAACGGGAGACAGCGCTGACAGCCTTTCGGCTCCGACCAGCAGTGTCGGGACATAGAATGTAGACCCTTGATTAGTAACCCCCCATATATGAAAAGGATTTCAATTTCAAAAATATAGGGGAGGTTAGTATATTAATAACCAGGAGTCCACATTAGAACTCATGAAATCGACTGGAAGGTCCACATGGGGCCTCGAGCGAAGCTCACCGCCATCCGCACCACGAGCGCGCACCGCGGTCCGCGCGCGCCCCGCCGTCCCCGCGCGGTGACGGCGTCGCCAGGCGATCGGAAGTTGGAGAATGACAAGACCTTGGAAGAGCTCCAAATCGAGAAGGAGGAAGTCCTCGACGCGGTCTTCAGCATCGCGCCCGTCCAATGTGCCAAGAAGGACCCTTCTTGATTTAGGTCGGCACCGGACTGCGGTGGGCGGCGACCGAGACGTAGGGGGCCGCATGCTCCCCTTTTTCTCCCCCCAAAAGAACGACATCATTTCCAGCACCGACTGAACCAGCTCACCAATTGAAACCTGTTGGGCCCTTCCCAACCCTCCATTTCGGAGACCTGTTGAAGCTGTTCTTTTTTTAAATCTCAACCACCTTCATCCACAAACGCCCATCTACTTGGAAGGGGGCCCACGGAACGCGGCCGTCCTGTTCCGACGCCGCGGTCCCCTCGGTCCCCGCGGTCCGGGGTCGACCGGGTCGGAGGACGAGTCGCCCTGCGACCTGGAAGACTTGCGCTTCGTGAGCATCCCCAGCGGCGTGACAGAGATCGAGGCCGTGACAGATGGCCGGTGTTCGGCGTGGTGTTCAGAAGGGAAGGAGCGAGTCTGGCCCCCAAGGCGCTGCGGCGCTGCGCTACACGGAAGTGAGAGATGTGACCGGCCCCGTGACAGGTTTGGTAGAATGAGAAGGGGGGTAGAGAGAGAGGATGGGGGAAACCAGAGGACAAAGGGGAATGGGGGGATTAGCGGAACAGACAAATAAACGTGTAAAACCATGCATTTCATATCATTTCAGTTGCCTCCTCCCACCGCCTCCCAGCGGATGGGAGCACAGACCCGAGACAGATCCTCTTGGTGCCTTAAGCCTCATGGCCAGTTCATCTCACCCCATCCACAGTAAGATCCCCCAAAAGACACTACCAAGATCCAAACAAGTACATTCCGCCAACTATGGACCTCGGGAACCAGCTTGGTGCTCGACCACCAGCGTTTTTTTCACACCCCATCCGGGCGGGATGTTCAACCGTCTCCATTCCGATTTTTTACCCTTGCCAACTCCATTCCAGCATACAAAGCTTCTAGCATTAATTTATAGTAGTAATGCCCTTGTGACTAGTAGCGATTGTCCTTGTGACTAGTCGTCAGATTCTGCTCTCAGATCTCCAGGACAATGCCTTTGAGAACTGCCCCTTTCTCATCAGCGTCCTCATCCCCGAGACCGTCACGGAGATCGGCGAGGCCGCCTTCCGCGATTGCATCTGCTTGGAGCGGATCGAGATCCCGAACACGGTCACGGACATCGGAGAGCAGGCGCAGGGAGTGCATGCGCGGCTACAGCGAGCTTGGGTATGGCGTAGCATTTCATTGAACTGAAAGGTCTGATTACCACCACTCGAAGAGTGGTTATCAGATGGAAAATCGATGGTCTATAAACCACCGGACCTGGGTGGTGCTGGTAAGTTCATCTCTTTTCAGACGGTCTGAATTCCGAACGCATGTTCCGATGTCATACACCAAGAGAGAATGCATGGCTTCAGCACCCCATGGCTTCGGACGTCTCGGCGAGATGGATGCTTCAAAATCTCACAATCATTTTCACAGGACTCTGAGATCACAGGACTCTGATAAGATCTCTGTCAGACACCATATTTGTGTTCAGCACTTGAAACGACCCCGTGATTCTTGGCATGCCACTTCCCACAGCACGCGTGTGCGTCACGAAGTCAGGCAAAGACTGATTTAGACAAATTTTTTGGAGGATCGCAGGTGCCAAATGCGACATGGAGGATTCCAACCATTCCAACCTTCCAAGGCCCAAGATTTCCAGGATTCCTGATTCCAAGTCCTGAAACAGCACCCAGCAAAAAAACGGATCATGATGATCCATGATGATCCTGATCTTCCAACACCATGTTTGGCGCTTTTCCTCCGGTGCTTTGAGCTTCCAGACCCACGTGCAAAACCACCACGTCGTGCGCAACCGCACACGCGCACGTGCCCCCACGGTGGATGGAAGCACCACAAAGTATACGCCTTCCTGGAGAGCTGGGGAGGCCTTCGCGAACTGCTTGTCCATGGAGAAGATCGAGATCCCCAACTCCGTCACGGACCCTTGGGTCGGGGATGGTCGAGATCCGCTGCTGCTTCCGGCGATTGGGTTGGCATGCGGTTTTGGACGAACCTTGCAACACCCGCGTAGTGCGGATGTTGCTTGAAAGATTTTGGACTATGACACAAAGTGCCAGGTCCTAGGTGTGGTGGTGAGGAAGATTCGAAAACACTCCAAGTTTTCTCAGTTTTTTCACTCTTAGTTTCTGTCCACGGTGCTTCTTTGGAGGGTAACAGACCTTGCCGAGCTTGGAATAGAGAAGGACACAATTTGGATTTCATGGCTGAAATTCCAGGACATCACCAGGCACACAGAAACACGGACTGTCTGAACTGCCCATCCAAATGGAAGGGAGTGACTATATGTAGAGTCTGCAGAGTTGTCCAGCACCAGGCAAAGGATTGTTGGAAAAAAACACAGGGGCCAGGGCCAAGGGGTGTGCAAACCCTCCGTTGCATTCGCATGTTGCTCTATATAGATGTCGCTGGTATTTCTTTGTGGACCACCATCCACAGGGGCGCTGGTCGGGGGATGCGGCAGGGTCCGTCGTGATGACGTGGGTTCTGTAGCGGGGCACCGAAGCACCCGCCCCGCGGAGATGGATGGCATGTAACGAACCATGGTAACCATGATAGCAGCAATTGCATGTTCCATGTTCTATAACCATGTAACCATGCATGGTAACCATGTTCCGCATGTTCTTCACCTTCTTCGATCTCCGGTGCTTCACCGACGTGCTTCTCTTCGCCGCGTGACACAGCGTCTCGTCCAAGTTGGGGCTCCGGCTCGACCGACTGAGGAGATCTGGGAAAATGCGTTCTCGGGATGCCAGTCACTCGTGAGCCACTTGGAGAGGTGGAGTGGACCAGTGAGGGAACGTGTTTCGTCCCGGAGGTAGGTGGAGTGGCTCTATAGGGATCCGTTTTCGTACCGAACCTCAGGTACGGTGATTGGCGACACTGCTATGTAGGTTTGGAGGGTCCAAGTGCCTTCTGAGAAGGTGCTTGGATCCCTAGGGTGGAGGTTCTGGGCACCCCTGAATGGAAAGAAAGCACCTTTGTTCAACTCCTGGGAAGGATGGACCAAAAATGAAGAAGCTGCGCGGCCCAAGAAAAAGACTCCTTCCGGATCCTGGATCTGGGATAGTGCCCGAGCTCCTCTCGTGGATTTGGCTCGGAACCATCCCAGAGCTCCTTTGCCGTCCGCTCCACGACATCGGCAGAGGATCCCCAACAGAGGACAGACAGACAGAGGTCACTCCGTCCACTCCACAGAGGTCGGAGCGACACCTGCCGGTCCGTCCGCTGTTCGATCGAGGTGTGACCCTCCCCGACTCCGTCACCGAGATCAGCGAAGGCACCTTCGAAGGCTGTGAAAGCCTCGAGCCCTCGGCTCACTAAATCGGACGGAACGGACGGAGACGGAGACCGGGGAGGTCACCGTTTTAACGCTGCAGCGGATAGGAGAGCTAGGGATCCAAGATCTGTTGGTTTCAGCTTTCGCCCGCTATCGCTGATTTCCTGAAGATGTTCACTCTGTTCGGTGCTTTTGATGGGGTTCCTGGATTCTGTTTTAATACTATATGGGACAAGATGGATGGCCTCCACCACCCACCGTCAACCCACAATCCATCCACCATTCCAATCCATTCCACCAATTTAATCCAATTGACCAACCTAAAACATTCGACCCAACGAGAACTAATTGCGGACTATACACCTCCCCCTCAAACAAAGCACCATCCAACCATCTCCAACTCTCCTCCAACCCGTCAAAAATCCACCTTCTACGCAGATCCACCACCCCCTTCGCATCTCCTCCCGGCCTCCGCCCGCCTCACGTCACGTGAACGTCCGCGCGCGGACGACCCGCGCTCCCCGTCGCGCCGCGCGGCGACGTCCGCGGCGGCCGAGGAGAGCGTGGTGATCCCCGACACCGTGAGGGAGATCGGCGCCGGCGCGTTCGCCGGCTGCGGCGCCCTGCGGGAGGTGGTGATTCCGGACTCGGTCACCGACGCCTGGGAGGGGAGACCGAGTCGGAGGATGGAGGAAGGAGGGCCTCATTGTGTCCCTTACAGGTCAAAGACATATATAAAACCAAGACTTAAGCATGACTTAAGGAGGTCACAGACCGTGCTACGCGGTCTTGGAGACTTGTAGGGTGTGGCGCATGCATTTTTTATTGCTTTTTCTCGCCACCTCGGTGTTTGTCGGGAGGGCTCTTCCCTCCGTGGTGCGGGTTTGGGGGGATGGGCGACGGAGAGACCTATTATAGCTACTAGTAACAAAGGGGATGACTACTAGAAGCTACTTATAGTAACAAAGGACATCGCTACTAGGAGCAAGAAGCTACTAGTGAAGGGTTATAGGGGCCTTGGATGGCCTTTTAAGGGAATGTAAGCAAGGGAACGTACGTATGAACACTTTCAGGTTAATTGGATTTGACTGGTGTTGAGGAATTTTGGGTTTCGATTCGTTCTTGGTTTACGCTTCTCCATGCCCATGCCCATGCCTGCAGTCGTAAGTGAAGATATAAACCTATAAAACCATCCCACCATTTCATGCTTGCTTGACGTCTGGTCGCCACAACAGGGCTTCGCCCTTGAAATCTCCCGGACGGTGCCGCTCTCCGGAGCTGAGTCGCCGAGGAGATTGGCAGTGCGGCCTTCCAGCATTGCACCTCCTTGTTCAGCGTCACGCTACCCGATTCCGTGCCGTGGCGGTTTGTTCAACGCACCCGGTGACCCACCGCGGGTCATGTTGTGTGGAGTATTCCCTTCCAAGAAGAGCGGCCCAGCCAGGAGTCCACTTGCCACCTCGGTTTCAGGGGCCTGAAAACTGGCGCGATGAGGTTCTCCGGAGCCAAGCCGCTCGACGGAAGACCGAAAACCGCCCCCCCCTCCCCCGCGTCGTGCCACCGAACCGCCCGATCCGCCGCCTCGCTCCACGGTTCGCGACACGCACCGCAACGACGTACGTCGAGAGGTGACGGACATTGGCGAAGCCAGTTTCGAGGGATGCAAAGCCCTTCGCAGCTTGACGGTGCCCAGTGCCCTGGAGCGAAGGAAGAGACTCCGCCGTTCGCCGTTCCGTTCGCCGCACGCGGGCTGACGCCGAAGCGAGGGAGCCGCGCGAAGCCGTGTGGCGGTGTGTATTCGACTGGTTTTACGCATGCTTGGGAGATGTGATTGACAAGTAGAGATCTAAGATTCAGTGCAGCAAATCGAATTCTGGAACATGTTTCATTGAATCTCACAATTCCTGCCCATCTCCCATCATTGCAACATGGTGCACCCATATTTGCACCTGCACGCATGGACTTCCGGCTGCACATGAACTTGGCACCAGTGAGGCTCCGTGGGCTACATTGGTAGCAAAGCCTTTTCAGGCTGCAGTGGCCCGGCGAGGTTGACGAATAGGACGACAGGTGGAGTCCATCAATTGTTTTTGTGGATAGCATTAGGTTTCAGAATTTTACTGTAAAGATAAATGTATTATGATCGATGATGATTGATGATTGATGATGATGATGATTCTTGATGATTCTTGATGATTCATGATTAACGATGCATTGGGTTTTGGGAACCAGATGTGTCTTTTTTTTCTATAGTTACCAATTTTGGGAGAAAGAAGTCCACAAGGGCTCAATTTAAGCGAACGTCGAACTGCATGTGGGCCGTTTCTTTCGAACTGCTTCTTTGTTTCGGGTTTGCCCTTCAGGGATCGAGGTAGGTCGTGAGTCGTGACCAGCTTGGACCATGGTTTCACCCCGAAACGATGGCCGGAGGACTGGCATATAGCTAGCCCAGAAAAGGCCAGTTGGGGTGGGTTTTGAGCGGGGTGAATGAATATACATCCCAGACACTCCATGGGACTGGTATATTTACCTACATTGGGGTGGTTTTGGGGGTCAATGTAGGCATATATGGCATACATGGAGTATCTGGGTATAGCTAGCCCAGATGCTCCAAACAGTTCCTTGGTCCCTCAAAACCGGGATTGGTTCGGGTACCGGGAGGCATCCTTTCCAGTCCAAAGACGGATCTTTTTTTGAGCGATGCAGATCCCTTCCCCTACACCTCCAAGTACCTTCTCAGGTTCGGTATGACTGGACCCTCCTGGCACCCATCCTAAACACCTTCTCAGAAGGTCCGACAGGAGCCCATCCGGGTTCAACCCTGAAGCACCGGGCCTGCCGATGTGAAGCACCGCCGGGCGCTCGGCTTCGTTGGACGGAATCTTCCGGCGCAACCGGCGTCTGTGGCACCGGCCGGGCGTCCGGGCTCGGGCTCTCCGGACGGGGTCTGCCGTTGGAAAACGGAAGGATTTGGGAACCGTGTGATGTGACCGGCCTCGACCCGACTGGACCCATTCGGAACAGGGGTGACCTTTTTTCTGGATGTTCGTTGAAACTCTTTTAGGCACTGAAAGGTGGATGGTCTCCATCTCAGCTGGAGATCACCCTTCAAGAAGTTTGTGAACCCTGGGAGTCTAAGACTAAGACATTCTTAGACGACCCTTTAAAACCTGTTTGAGCTGGTATGTTGTAGTCTAAAATCCTGCATTCAAACCAAGGGTTCTTCTTAAACACCTTATCAATGCCGGGCCAGGAATCCTACTTCGGGTGGAGATCTACCCTGCCCAAGGCGGCCAGGCTTCGCTTCGCAGCTCCGCGCAGCCCTGAGGCTCGTTGGCGACCTTGACCATCCCCCCGGACAGCATTCCCCAGGTGCGGCCTGGGGCCTTTGCCAATTGCAGTGTCTTGGCATGGAGCTGTCGCGAGCTGTCGCGATGTGAATCCGTGATCACCTCGCCACGCCTTCATGTTCGGGTCCAAAAAGAGGGGGGTGGGGCCCTAAAGGGTCAACATATTGGTGACCTGTTGGATGATGCTGGTATATCATTGATAGCCATGTCTATAACATTCTATAACATCATCTTTCCAGACATGATCAGACATGCACTTCCTAAAGTTCTCGAACTGCACTGAAAAAGCCACACTACCCCAAAGGAAGACCCCGAGAAACACCCCAAACCGGCCGCCGGGCCTAGACGGTGGCCTCAGGGACCACGGACCACGTGAAAAGAAGACCGAACCAAAGGGAGCCGAAACGTGTGACCGAAGACACAAACGTAATCTTTCAGCAAACGGAGCCTTGACATCTGCGTTCAGTTCTGGTGTCCCGCGCCTTCAAAAGCCTGGAGAGCGCCAAGATGTGTCCCGGTGGTTTCGTTCTGAAATCGATGGTTCACCAAGTGCCGACCACTTAGGACCAAAAATACATGGTCTCAATGGTTCACCACATTTTTTTCCAGAAAACATCCACATATGGACTATCCTGAACCTGAAGAAAGGGGTGTGAAGAATGGAGATCCACCTCTATAGAGGGTAGTCAGCATAGTCTCTTGGAGTCCAGGGACCCCGAAAGAAAGCTTGCGCATGTGCTGCATGTTTTTTCACCTTCACGGAAGGTATACTGGGTTCTTAGCAATAGCGGCCGACCTGCCAGTGGTCCAGTCGGTCTCCGAACCCACCAGCCATAGCCAAGCCATGTCGCCATGTCGTCCCCCAAGGCTTTCGGTCCTTAGCGATCCCCAATTCGGCGCCCTGGCCAGACGATGCAGCCGCACGTCGTTCCGGACGGACGGGTCGTGGTGGTAGACGTGACTGAGCCGGAGCGTTCGCATCTTCAAAGCCCACCTCCCGTTCGCTATGGATGGCGACCAGTGGGGATCACAACCATGGACCATGGTTGTTTTGGTTTCCCAGCTTTCAAGGGGCTCTTTTTGGGTGATGCTACCCGCGGTGTTGGTTTAAGCAACAGATTCGGTCCTATAGGGGCTTGTGAAGATTTGGACTGGAAGAGACCTCCGAAAAAGAGTCTGGAGTTTCCGAAACGGGCGGGGGATTTCGAGCGATTCACTTTCGTACCTTTCATGCAACTATGTCGGGGTGTCCAATGAACTACCCCTATAGCTTCCAGACAGGGCACCCCTTGGAGGGTCCTGGTAGATTCAATCTATATCTAGATTCTCGACGATCGAAGAACACTGAGAAACTCCGATGTTGAACAATTTCGGGCTGGAAAAAGAACCTCCAAGAAAGACTGCTGACATCACAAACACCAGAGGAGACAAACACCAGAACACTTGGAGACTGCATCGGCCGCCCACGCGCCGGGTGACCCTCCACGCACCGCGGATCGCGGACCGCGGACCGAGGTCCTGGACATCGCCAACGGCGCCTTTGCACGCTGCACCCAGCTGGAATGGTTGATCATCCCTGCGAGCGTCCATCACATCGGTCCTTCCGCCACCTGGATCGATGGCAGGGACCAGTGGGAAGTTGGGGACAGGGTTTCTGGGTGGAGGTTGCTTCATGTGGTTACCTCAAGTCTGCGTCGTGTTGCGGGAAAGCTGCATACGGCCTGTAGGGGGTGTTTGGAGATTTTGGGAGAGCACATCTACCTAGACGCGACCCTGGACCCTCCCGTTCAGTAGGGGCCAGACACCTGAATCCTCTCGAGGGGTTCGGACCCTCCAATCTGTATGGTTTTGAGGGACCACGGTGTCGACAGTTTTGGAGCATCTGGGTAGACAGTTGTTGGGACCGATCCCGATCAGCTCCATGACCTTCAGGTTTTTCGGGCACCTTCTGAAGGTGTCAAGAGAAGACACACACACACACACACCCGCACAGATCAACCTATCCCAGACACTCCATGGGACTGGAATGTATGCCGATCAATTCACCCCTTCCCACCACTCCTACTGATTGGCATTGGTATGCCAATCTTCCCAGAGGGCGGTCGAGTCTGGGTATGGTTTGTTGCACCCCACAGCTGGATGCCTCTAACCGCCTGGAGCCGGGTGTCTGACCCCCTCCGACCCGCCGACCCCCACTCCGACCCCCACCTCCAACCAACCCGCCGCCCGAGCCGCGGACCGCGGCCGACCGAGCCGACCCGCTCGCGGACCGAACTGGCCCCGGCCGCGGCCGAGCGAGGCGTTCAAGGGCTGCGTGCGGCTGCAACACGTGGAGATCCCGGATTCGGTGACGGAGACCTGGGGTCCAGAGAGGTGGGTGGGAGCCGTGGAACAGGTGGAACAGTGGGAGGACGGAGTTGGCGTACCAGGACCCATTGTTCATGGAAAGCCGGGAACATCTGGGCTATCAATGGAAACCCCTTAGGTATCGGGTGTCCTGGTATAGGGGGAAGGAAGGAAAGGATCAATGATAAATCTCAGAGGCGGAGACTCGGAGGATCTTGGGGGTTTGGGGACAATCGCGCGCAGATTCAACGATTTCATGTATTTATAGCATATTATATATAATACACTCCATGGGACTGGAACATATGCCGATCAATTAACCGCCCTGGCACCACCCCAATGTATGTATATATGGCAGTCCCAGACGGGTCGCGTCTGGGACATAACGATTCTTTCGGCTTTGCAGGATTCATGCTTATTGAGTTGGATTTTGCAGTTTTGCTAAGGTTTGGTTGGTGAAACACCGCCTCAACAAGTGGTTGATGCGGTTTGACAGATATATAGCCATCTAAGTACAAAGGAACTGGTGAATGCTGTGCTTGTGGTGGTTCAGATGTCGAATGTTCATCAACCAACATCAACACTTATGTACACTCCTCTGATCTAATGTTGTAGACCTGCTGGGAGTTCAGACTCATCTTACCACCTCCTCTGTTGGTTTCCGATGGACAACCCTCCCACCACCTGAAAGTCTCCTTCCAAACTCTGCTTTCCTTCGTGCTTTCCACGAGAATGCCCATTGACTCAGCGCGATCAGTGCATGAACCTGAATCCTTCCGACTTCAGGATCGACTGTCGAACGGGTGAACATCGTGGAGACAACTGATACTTCCTTCTGATCAAGTCCCATCCAAGGCACTGACTCCGACTCCGACTCATGTCCCCCCCCACGTCCGACTCGCTCCGGGCTGAGGAGATTGGCGAGTGCGCCTTCGCTGGCTGCGTCGAGGCGAAGGGGCGGCAGTTCGGTGCGTCGGGTTCGAGGCGAAGGGTGGGCTGGCGACCGTCGACATCGAAGCGAGCAGAACTCCAGCAGTTTGAATACAGAATATATCATTTGACAGTGACACGAAAGATGGAGGAGCTCTTAGCCATCCACTAGAATAAGTGAGAGGTCTTGTCCTCCAGGTTTTCGGCTAGCGGCCTTCAGCTCTTTGTTTTCTCTCGTTGGGAATTCGCTAGCCACATCCATCCACCACATCCATCCATCCACAGCACCAGTCGCTGAAGGGGTATCTTGTTTTGAAATTCTTGACTTCATACCACTTTGGCGTGTCAAATGTTCAATCCGGCAGAACCTCCGAGAAAATGGAAACAGAACACCAGGGTTGGTTTTGGGTCCCATCCAGTGAATGGGAGAATGGGCACCCCCTATCCTCCAATATGCACCTTTATCATCCTTTATCTCATTCCACAGACCCATGCAATGTCAAAACCCCCCACCGATCTCGGCTTCTTCGGAAGGCCTGCTGTGACCCATGTGGCGCGCGCTTCATTCTGGCTTAATCTGGCTTAGACGTAATCCGTTACGTGGGACCCGCCGCGCTGCCCCGCGGACGACCTCGTTGGTCGCCAGGCGAAAACCCTGAAGCTCTCGAGGCCGTGCGTTGACGCGCGGTGATGGGCGAGGACGTGCGTTCGTTTTGGACGGGACGGTGCGTTGCGTTCATATTTTTTTTGAGAGGTTGGAAGCACGAGAGGTCAAAAGCGAAAAAACCGTAGTAGTCACCGCACCCTCTGAAAATAAGTTGAGCAGCATTTACTGCGCTGCCGGTGCTGGTTTACAAGCATCTTCTGCCGGTGCTGAGATCGGTGTAGACCGGGAAGACATGCGTTTGTGGAAATGACATGAGCCTTCTTAGCGCAATGACACACCATTCGGGGTGAGTTATTGCTGTATCTCTGGTTTGTCTCAGGGGAACATTGGCACCCATCGACCTAGATCCTGGAGGCCATGAGTTCTTCAAGTCAATTTCGTGAACGCCCAGCATTGACCGGACCTTCTCCTCAATTTTTCACCAGAGGGTTTCCAATCACACCAATTCCTACAGCACGTGGCTATAGCTGGACGCCCAGCAGAGCACGAACTTGAGCTGAGAGATGGTCTCTCACGCTTTTGCGGGCTCAGTGGGGTGAGGTGGGGTGCTTCTCAAACTGGACTCAACGATCTACAAGCTCTCCTCTTGAAACAGCCAGTTTTGTGGATTTATACTGATTTTTTTGGTACGATTTTGCTGCCCAAAATGGCCCACCTTGCGTTTCTTTTCTGCGCTCCACCCTGAAGTCTCAGTTGGTACCTCAGATGAATGAACCATGAGTACAAGCACATATCAGCACCTTCATTCCGGGGTCACCTGGCCGGGTCACCCCTAGACTATGCCGAGACAGGACACCCCCTGGAAGGTCCAGGTACCTGTGTCATCTCTACAAGGCCATCTCGCCCATGTTCTAAGCTACGAGATCGTGGGCCTTGCGGCCCCTTGCGCGTTTCCCTGTCGCGGTCGCCAGCGCAGGTCCCTCACGGAGATTGGCGACTCGGCCTTCGAAGGGTGTTCCTCTGTGGCAGCTCGGCCGACGAAGAGGGGGAGACACGGTGGCCTTGAGCGGGAGAAGTATGGTGGAGGCTTTTGGAGGTAGATTATTTTGTCTTTTCTTTTAATGGCCAATCACAAATAGATATTCCAAGGGCCCCTAGCTAAGGCATAGGCCATGTTTTTTTCCTCTGAGAGATGGATGGTGTCCTGGTGGTCTTTGGAAGATTCAGACAGAGACATGATGGCTGGATCAAGACCTGGAGACTGACCAGTCCACCATGAAGCTTGAGCTTCCGAGTAGGTCAGGTTTCCGGGTGTTTGGAAGACCAAGCCGAAGATTTCAGCACTGAGACCCATGCGTTCAACCTCCATCAAAGGGCGGGGTGGGTGCTGGTATGTTATAGCAATCCGATCAATCCCATCTTACTAGGGTACCTATGGGATAGTCTATAGGTTTGTCAACCTCTGTTGGTATGTTTGGTGACCCCCATGCTGAAAACTGAGTGGGCTTCCAGTGTTCTGGCGATCCGGGTCCTGCATTCACTCAACCGGGTTGTTGCCACGACCAAGAACAGTCGGTAGAAAGATGAATTTTTGGGAAAGGATGGGAAAGGTCTACGAAAAAAGCATCATCAGCGACTGTTACAAGTAAATGACTGGGATATACCCAAGCAGGTCCATCTCATTCTTTTTGTTGACTGAAAGCCGTGAGGGCACTTCGGAGTGTCGCGGAGCGTGTTTTTCTTTGTTCTTTTTCTGAGGAGGAGTTGGACATTCCCTTTTGTGTGGAACGCATTGGCCGTGCTGCGTTTGCCACTTGGTGGAGAGAGACCCCTACACCCAGCTAAAACGTGGTCTTTTACATCCTTAAGTATTGGTGTTGTATATGACAATCTCCAGTAAAATGAGGTCTTTGACTTGTAGGGAGACATTGACATCGACGACATTTTAGCCACCTCGATACTGGAGGATCGATCGGTGGACTGAATTGGCTTGGTATGCGCATATATGTCGCTCCCACCAATTCACCAACCCACCAACCCAATCGGCCTTCAGTTCAGGCGTCCTGAGATCCCACCGGTTTTGGCGCAGAATTTCATGTCGCGCAGCCAGCTGGCCGGTGCTGAGGCCAGTTGTAGCCAACTGAAGGTCTTGGCCCTGGGTGACGCCCTGATGGAGATTTCGGACTGTGCCCCGGTGGCAGCGACGAACTACCACCCCGCGGCCCCGCGGCCGCGGCCCGTGACGGGTCACTGGGGGCGTCCGGTCACTGGGCAACCGGAGTGGAGGAGTGTGGTGGATGGGGTCGGGGTGGGGCGGGTCTTGCTGGCCCATGTTCCAAGTTCCACCAGCCACATATATGGAACTCCTGGTTGAGTTCCTTTTGTTTCAAAGAACCGATGCTTTTCTTCGGTCCATTGGCCCTCTGGAAGCTGAACACACAGAATCGAACCAAGAACAACCAGCACGAAAACCACTCAGAATCAACAACCCGCAGCTCCAAAGGAGTGCCGAAATATTTGGGGCGCCCATGATCACTTAGGGACTAACCAACACCCCTTTGGAACTCCTGGAATGCACCCGACACCGAGGATGCGTTGTCACCCGTTTTGCTCCAAAAGGATCTTCAGATATATCTTCAGGGATGGTCTTTGAGGTGTTCTGGTGCCGAATCCGTCATCTAAACTTGAAGGTGCTAGCAAGTGCACTTTACCTCAGTCCAATTGCTTGGAGGCCACCTAAACGGCCACCAATCAGCCGCAGAAGCACGCCCCTATCCGCCCTCATCTCCTTTCATCAGGTGCCTTCGAGCATTGTAGCTCGTTGAGCACGGTGTCCTTGCCCGAGTCCCTGAAGTACGTGGCGCCGCGCGCCTTCGCGCGCTCTGGACTCCAGCCACCCCTCTTTTTGCCACGGCGCGGCGGGCCCATTATTGTGGGGGAGGAGGCGTTTCCACAGGAGTTGAAGCCTCTTGGAGAGGGGTTTGGAGGATGGGCCATGGGTGGGCGGCTGGAAAAAGGTGGACCAAGAGCGTTGAAGCCTCTTGGAGCAAGCTTCGAAGACCACTGTCAGAAAAGGCCCAGGTGTCACGGTGTCCATGGTTGGGCCAGGTTCTCTCTCTCTCTCTGAACTGGAGCGTGTTTGGGAACCATGACCGTTCCTGCCTCCTTTTGATCTGTTTTAGAGTCCCTTGTTTGGGACTCGGTTTCGCCAAAGGATGAGCTTCCGGTTCTAAAAGCCCACGTTCCAACCTGTTCGAACCCTTCAAGACCTGTTCCAACCGAACCCTTCTCAAGACTGTTCATGGTTGAAAACATCGCCACGTCCCATCCCTCGTTCGTTGGATGCTGCTGCCGGATCCCATGCCCCAACCGATACCCCGGTGGTTCGCGATCCGATCGACTTACCTGGACGCTCCAAGCAGCTAAGCACAGAGGGGACGGCGTCGGACCAGGCACAGGTGTTGGGGGTCTCAGCTTGTAGAAAGGACCATGGCATGAAAAAACAAGAAGCTCCCCATCTCATCAGGTCGCCAATGGCATGTTCATGGCAGGACTCACTTCATTGAATGGCAGCTCCAACCCGTTTGGGCAACTTTTTGTTTCAACTCCCGGGGGCATTCACCGCTCCCCCAAATGGAAGGTGGTTCGTCATTTCATGTCATTTCCTTTGCTGCGCATGTCTGGCTCTTCTAAGGGTCCCGAGCTTCTCACAGCAGATGCATCCTGAAGAGTGCGAAGAAGAAAGCTTCTGTTGCCTCCACTGAGAAAGGAAAAAGGTCGACCATCAGCTTCTCGTCGACTCCTCTTCCACCACACATCCTGCCGCTAAGATAGGGTGATAAGCCAGAGCGATGATAAGCCAGAAGAGGTGGTCCGACGGCAGGGTAGCAGACCGAGATCAATTTCTTTTTGGGGGTGAAAAACACATTAAAACAAACACACACCTGGAACTGATGGCCAAGATCCAAACCACCTTGCGGCTGGCTTAAGAAAAAACTTGGTGCGGCTGGCTGAAACCCGACACTGTGAAGAGGGGTACGACCTGTTCCTTCCGTCGTTGGACCCCTCGGACGGGTCACCTGGTGCGTTTCCGGAGCGACCGAGATCCTTCCTGCGACCGGTCACCATCAGGGTTGTGAAGAAGGTCACTTAGCAATCCAGTTCGATCACGGAACTTCCAGTGTTTTGTTCGATCTGCGGCGT